GGGGGGGGGGGGGGGGGGCGGTGCACTGTGTGGGGCTGAGCTGCTGTCCGCAGAGCTGGAGAAAACCCTCCGGCCGAGGGGCAGAGGGCCGCAGGCAGCTGGGCCGACGGTGAGCCCAGAACCGTCCCTTGCGGCCGCAGGAGACCTCACAGGTGGTGGCGGTCGTGGGCGGGGCTGCAGCCCCTGCTGTCGGGGACCTTGGGCATTTGGGGGGACTTCGCCCCCAGGATGGATCGGGCCCCCTGAGCGTGGCCTCCGAGGACATCAGTGGCGCCCCAACCGTCGGCATCGCCTCTTTCCCCACCACCGCCGCCGGAAACCTTTGACTTTGGAGGGGAGGGAGGGGAGGGGGCAGATGCGGGGAGCAGCAAGGCGGCGGTGCCCAGAGAGGAGCCAGGCTCGGCCGGTCGGCACCTGCTGTGCCACAGTAAACACTGGATTCAATGCCACGTGGGAGGCTCCTGCCTCGGGGTCTGGCCTCAAAAGTGCCCCTAAATGTCACTTCACAGCTCGTCACTCCCTGCCACCAGCCTGCTGGCTGGCAAGAGCCGCCCCCCAGACTCAGGGGGTCGGCCGGTGAAGCGGGAGGTGGGATGTGGGGCTCTCTGGGCTCAGGCGTCAGCCGGGCCTGCGCCGTGGTCTTGCCCTTGCCCCCGTCTGGCGGACCCTGCTGGGGCCCCGACCCCTGTGCTGCTGCATCCAAGGCGGCCACTTTCTCCCCTGGTGCTGGGGGCTGTGCAGCGAGGGTGGGCCCTGCGGCCTTGGGGCCCTCTATCCCCCTCCAGCCGCCCAGCCTGCCCCCGGCCCCCAGCTGCGAGGAGCTGGCTTCCCTCACACTCCTCCAGCTGCACCCGGTGAAAAACAACTTTTCCACAGCCCGCCAGCTGCCGCTGGAGCTATTGTGCAACCCTCAGGGTCCTGACGCCACCCCGGGTGGCTGGGCTCGCGGCCCGCCCCTCCGCTATCTGTCCTGGGACCTGTGCACGGGGTGCCGGCAACGGCAGCGTCCTCGGGCAGGAGCACCCTGTCGTGGCCGTGGGGGCCCTTCATAAACACCCGGAATCCAGGCAGGACAGGACGGGAAGGAGCCTCACAGGTCCCTGAGTCCACACGCCCCATTGGACAGCGACGGGAACGGAGGCCCAGAGAGGAGGACTCGGGGTCACACGTGAGCGCGTGGCCGGCCACCAGGGGCCCGGGGCCGGGCTGGAGCGCACAGCTGTGGCCTCGGCCGCAGCAAGACAAACATCCGCTGCCTGACTCAGGGGGTCGGGCCCGGGTCTCCAGGAGGGGCACAGCCCGAGGGTCACAGCGTCTTCCTCCTTCCGGGACCCCTCCCCACCCCCAAGGGGATTAGTGGGTCCAGACCACAGGTGACCAGACAAGGAGGCTGTGGAATGAATCGGATGCCAGGAGGCGGCTGGGCACCCGGCAGTGTTCCCCCGGCTTGAGCAGCGCCCGGGGAGGCCGGGGCGGGGGGCCTGCCTGCCGACACTGCCCCAGCCCCCTGTCCGTGTAGACACGCCTGTCCCCCGGCTGCCCTGCTCTTGGTCCACATTCTTCAGGTCTTCTGGGGGCCGGCTCTGCGCTCTCTCCCTCCACTCCCCCTGCTTCCTCCAGCCCCGCCCTGTGCAAGGCGCTCCAACCACCTGGACCCTGCCTGGGCACCCCCATGCGGGCCCTATTCCCTCTGAACGTCCGCATCAGAACCCGGGAACTGGGACGTCACCTCACGCGGCCAGAGGGACCTTGCAGCCACGGTCAAGTGAAGGTTCCTGACACGGAAAGTTATCCTGGATGACCAGACAGGCCTCCGGGGTCACAGGGTCCTTATCAGAGGAGGCCGCAGGGTCAGAGTGAAAGACGTAGGACGGAAGCAGAGGCTGGGGAGGGGATGTGAGGAAGGGGCTGGGGAACACAGGAAACCTCTGGAAGCTGGAGGAAAGGGTTCTCCCCTGGAGCCTCCAGGAGTAACCAGCCCTGTCAACACTTCGACTTCAGCCCAGTGACACTGGCTCTGATGTCCTCACACAGTGCTCACCACACGGGCACCTCCCTATCCCAGGCAGCCGCCCGCTACCCTCTCGGCTCCAGAGGAGAGACCAGGGCTGGCCAGCTGTAGAAATGCACCCCCAGCCCACTTCCGTCAGTCCTCCCAGACCCCAAACCCGGGCCCTCCCGACCCTGGCTGGGTCAACGTAATCGGGATGTGACAGCTCACGTGTAAACACAGCACACATGAATCTGTGCGCACATGGAGATACGTGTGTGTGTGTCCTCATACAGCCAGGTGAGTGTGCACATGCACACTCATGCATGTGTGCACATGACCCACGTGAGCGTGCACAGTACAGACATGCATGTGTGCATGGCCCGTGTGAGCATGCACACGTACAGACGTGTGCACACACAGCAGGCGTGCATGTGCACAGTACAGACACGTATGCACACGCGGCCCATGTGAATGTGCACACGGCACTCACGAGCGCGCACATGGCACAGACATTCATGCACACGGCCCACGTGAGTGTGCACACAGATGTGCGTGTGCACACGGCACATGTGAGCATCCACAGGGCACAGACGTGCTTGCACACGGTCTACGTGAGCGTGCACACGACACGTGCCCATGAAACTGCTCAGCCCTCAATCACACAATTTTTGGCATCATGTGCCCTTGCGGACATTTCTTCTCACTGCACATGTCAGGGCTACGCCTCCTTTTCCTGGATTCAGTTTCTTCCTCGTTTGCAAGTTTCTTTTTTTTTTCATTTCAGTCGAAATGTTTTCTCCAGTAACTGTTTTCACAAAGGAGTCCGGGGGAGGGGATTGAAGAGCTGAGATGCTTGAAAGATGCTTGAAACGTTTTCGTGTCTTCAGAATCATTGTCGTCATGAAGCGTGACAGAGACAAGGGCCCGAGCCTAACATTTGAATGTACATCTGATGCTCGCGCATCATGGGTGTTAGAGGCACTGACCCCCCACTGAGTCAAAAATCCACATACGACTTTTAGTTTTCTTAATTTTATTCATTTTTGAGAGAGAGAGAGAGAGAGAGAGAGAGAGAGAGAGAATGAGTGGGGGAGGGGCAGAGAGAGAGGGAGACACAGAATCTGAAACAGGCTCCAGGCTCTGAGCTGTTAGCACAGAGCCCAACGTGGGGCTAGAACCCACGAACCGTGAGATCGTGACCTGAGTCGAAGTCCGGCGCTTAACCGACTGAGCCCCCCGGGGCACCCCTAAACAATCCACATACAACTTTTGATTCCCCCAAAACACAACTGCTAATAGTCTGCTATTGGCCAGAGCCCTACCGATAACAAGAAAGTTGATTAACACCTATTTTGCATGTCGTACATGCCATGTACTGTATAATAAAGTAGGCTAGAGGAAAAAATGTTACCGAGAAACGCACGAGGAAGAGAAAATACGTTTACACGCTGTTCTGTATTTATGGAAGAAAGTCTGCGGCTCAGTGGACCTTCGCAGTTCCAACCCGTGTTGTTCGGGGG